GTTGGAAGCACTTCAACGAAGAGCAGATGGACTTGCGGGACAAGTTCCAGCTGGAGTGGGAGCTTGAAAATCAGCAGAGGGAACAGAGGATGCTGGAAGCCCAAGACGCAGAGGCAGCAGAGGCGGCAGAGGCGGATTGAAGGTGCAGTGAGGAGGAGGTTCAATCAGTGTAGAAGAGGTGTCAACAAATCGCCTCCATGCGCTCCTTCATCAGCGATCGAGCTTCTCTCCCAGACATCTCTTGAATCTCCCCGTCGGCAAGGAGGTGGAGTAGTCGGACGAAGTCTGAAATGCGAGAGGGGAGGGTAGAGAGGAGGCAGGAAGGAGAAGGAGAGAGGAGATGAGGAGGGAGGACGGAGAGGAGAGAAGCGAGGGCAGAAAGAACAGGGAGGGATCGGGAGGATCATGATCAGGACGAGGGTGGAGGGGCAGAAGCAGTGGTCTTCCCTTGGACATGGCGATCGCTATTGCCCGTCCTCTCGCACTTCGTTTCGTTTCGCTGATACACAGTTGCTCATCATCTTTGCAGGTCGGGTTACTGGTAAGCTCAGTAATCTCCTGACCGAGGTAGTCGGAGTGTAGCACAAAGGGGGTCGGCTGACTTGAATTTGACAGAAAGTTGCGATGAAGAGGACGGTGATAAAAGGGGAGGACCTCTCCTCAGAAAAGCGCCAGCGGCCGATGCGAACTCGTTCCACTCAGAGCCATGAGAAGCCGGCGATGGGCAGGAGGAGGAGTGGCTACGTCGAAGATGACACTGAGCAGAAGGAGAACACTAGGTGAGAGGAGGAGGAGGAGGAGGAGGAGGAGGAGGAGGAGGAGGAGAATCTGAGCGCCTGGATGTACAGAATGAAGCGCGTCGGAAAGAGGAAGGAGGAGGATCGGATGTCCTCGCAGAGCTGTGGAGGTGTCGGGATGAAGGCGGAGGAGGATGACGTGGATGGGTCGAAGGGCGGGGACTTCGTTAGCAACGGCAGTCCTGCAAGGGATGATGCAGATGCGTGGGGAGCAGGTGAAGTCAAGAGGAGAGAGGAAGAAGAGGGGAAGAGAGGGGAGGAGAGAGGAATGGGAGGGAGCAGGGGGAAGGAGGAGGGAGGGACGGAGGGGAGGCGGGGAGGGGGAGTGAAGGATGAAGGTGTTTTCTTGATGTGACACTTCTTGCCTCAGCTACTGCGCTGATTGAACTCTTCTCACGCAACGAGAAAGGCCCGATAGCAGACGAAGCTGAGAGAGGAAGGCGAGGAGATGCCCATTCCCTCCGTTGCTCCGAGGCCCACAACACGGTGACTCCTTCTCCTCCTCCTCTTCCTCTTCTGCCCTGCCCTGTTCTCCTCGCATCTTGACCTTTCTTGTTCTCTGAACTTCCTCCTGTTTGTTTGTCCTTCTCATCTTCTTCCTCACTCGCTTCCCTCCTATCCCCTGCCTCAGCACCTAGTTCTCTTTCCTTTTCTTTTCCTTCGCTCCCCCATGCGCCTCCTCCACTCTTGATCCTGGACGGGGGTTGACGAGTGGTTTGAGCAGCAGACTCCCAATCACGACACTCATGCTAAATCTTCTCCTGACGTGAAGGAGGCGCAGCAAGACAGGCTAAGAATCTCTCCATCCTTGTCCTCCTCCAACCAGCAGCTGCTAGCCTCGCCATACATGGCCAACCTCATGCTTGCCAGCAAGGAAGACAGAAATTTCCAGCTGTCGCCGAGGTCGCTGGCCAAGACTGAAGCTGAGAACAAGCACAACAAATATTGTCATTTCTGCCAGCACATTAAGGTCCTCCTCCACTCCTCGTCCTCCTCGCCTCCTCGCCTGCTCTCCTCCTTCCCTGTCTTGCCCGAGCCCGAGCCTCTACTCCTCTCCTCATGCTCATGCTTCTCTTGTCCTCTGATCATTCTCTTGCTCTCCCTCTCCCTGTTCTCCTACCCTTCCCCCGACTGATGTTCACCTCAGGTCAAGAAGGCGAGGAGCATGAGGGCCTGTTCCAACGCCGAGTGTGCGAGGAGATTCTGCGAGCATTGTCTTCTTTTCCACCTCAAGGTCAGCAACTCTGCTCCTGCTGCTCCTGCTTATTCTTCTCCCATGCTCTCCTCTCTCATCGCTTTTCTTTCGCCCCCCCCCC